AAGAAGAGTTTTAAAAATTGTGAAAACTGCATGTATCACTTTGCAAATAGTTTACATGTTCTGACCTTAACCCTAACCCCAGCAGATGTAACAGCAGCCAAACAAACTGGTCATGTTGAGACAATGGGAGCTAGTCTCATTGAACAATGCCACTGTTGGATCTTGTGGTGGCTGGCAACCACAGACTCCCAGGCTGTTTGGCCTTGGGGAGAGTTGACCTGTTGGATCTTGCTACAGGGGCAAATAACTTTGACAAATGATGCAGACTGATGTAGAGTTTATCTGATATCGCCACAGTACAGTAGTCGAGCCTTGAAGGAGTTTTCAGTATCTCTTTTGTGGTCTTTTGACACCAGTTCTGTGAAAATTGCACATACATGTATCTTTCTCGTTACAAGCACCCCTTTTTCCTGAAAGAAAAGCAAGTCTGGTCTGAGCCAATTTGGCTCATCAGGCTGGTGTTTATTGCAGTTTCCTTGGCATGAAATGACTGAGAATATTTCTTTTCCCCCCTGGATGGGATGCCACTCCGTCACCAGTTGCATCCCAGCTAATGCTGGTACCCATTTATACTCCTGGGTGGAGAGAGGCAAGCAGGGGTGAAGTGGCTTGCCAAGGGCCACAACAGACTGCCAGCAGCTGGATTCGAACCACCAACCCTATGATTGGAAACTATAGACCCTAACCACATGGCCATGAAAGAGGCAGCCATACTTTTCCATGTTTTTATGAGCCAAAACCTTTAGTTTCATACAGCAGCTTTTACAGTCACTTTGACAGCATTTCTCTGAAAATCACACATACCATTCTCATGCAGCACCCACTTTCTTATTATAGTTATTATTCTTATTACCGAAAATGGGTCACTTGACCTATTTGGAAATATTATTATATTTCCGAATAGAGTGACCCATTTTCGGGTAATAGGAATTTGTATTAATATTATTATTATCATAGATTTCTGGTAATGACACCAAGGATTCCTCAAAAGCGCCCTAGGCACTGTAGCTCGTAAGCCTGAAGAAACCTGTAGAGAGGAGACAGTGAGAAGCAGTTACAGTTTTAGAGGTTGGAAGAAAACCTGAGAGGAATATTCTGAGTAAAACCCACAGAATCAGGTAGGGGGCCTAAAACCCGATCCATATGTGGACCGGGCCGGGATTTGAACCCGGCCGCAGAGGTAGAAGGCGAGGAAAGAACCACTACGCCAACCTGACTCCCTCCCTTTCCTGGAACAGGTCAACCAAAAAAGGTACCTGCACTTTCAACTGCTGTGCTGAGTGCACACAATGGCTGGTACACTTGTAACCTTCAACTTCAAGTGACCGTATCAACTATAAGTTGTATGTCAGGTTGATTTGAAACTACACATCTGTACTGATAAGGAGTGTTTTACATGCACGCTGACTGTTAACAAAATCAGGCTTGGGACAGCCAAGATCTTGGCTCTGAGATGGTACAAAATGACCTGTCAACTTCAGGGTTAACACTGGAATAAAACTGACAGAACTTGATGACATTGATTGGTTTCTCCTCGCAATCCTGGCAGGAGGGATTTCCGTAGTATCTGCTGCATCTGAGGCTCCACTGTAAAATGCTGACCAACCATAGAGGGCGCTATTCCACAAAGCCTACTGCATCACCCCATGGTAATGGAAAGATTAAAGGGGGAAAAAAGAACTAAACATTGTCTTAATAGCACAATGGCAATGGAAAGAGGAAAAAAGAACTGAACACTGCCTTAATCGTACAGTGGTAATGGAAAGAGGAAAAAAAAGAACTGAACGCTGCCTTAATGGCACAATGGCAATGGAAAGAGGAAAAAAGAACTGAACACTGCCTTAATCGTACAGTGGTAATGGAAAGAGGAAAAAAAGAACTGAACGCTGCCTTAATGGCACAGCGGTAATGGAAAGAGGAAAAAAGAATGGAATGCTGCCTTAATGACACAATGGTAATGGAAAGAGGAAAAAAGAACTGAACACTGCCTTAATGGCACAGTGGCAATGGAAAGAGGAAAAAAAGAACCGAATACTGCCTTAATGGCACAATGGTAATGGAAAGAGGAAAAAAAAGAACTGAATGCTGCCTTAATGGCACAATGGCAATGGAAAGAGGAAAAAAGAACTGAACACTGCCTTAATGGCACAGTGGCAATGGAAAGAGGAAAAAAAAGAACTGAACACTGCCTTAATGG